AGTTATTAAAAAAGGTGTTTAGGATTAGGCTTGTACCTAATTTGTGAATATTTGAATAAATAAAAAAAATGTAAATAATGAATACTTATATGAATTTAAAATAAATAGTTTTAACTGTTTATTAACACTTGTGGAAGATTAAAAAAAACAGTATGGGTTACACTCTACCAACAGGCAAATTCAACACCAAAAAGGTGAAAATTATTCTTTGGGCAACCTCAGGGTAAAATTCTAGAATTTTATTTAAGGGGAACTTACCGAACCTAATTCAGTATCCAGTGATTTACATAGGATTTGCCTATATAGTAAAAGGTGTAACTTACATGTATACAAGTGAAATGTATGTGAAAATCCAGAAATTTCCAAAGTGAGGTTATCTACAGGTTTGGTCTCACTATTAGATAGACTATGGTATGGTAAGTGAGTCATGAGTCCTATCCACGTTGTATCTGTTTAGCGTAGAACTCGACGTGGTTCTGCCAGAGTGGTACCAAGAGAGTTGCTGAAGAATGGCTACCAAAGCCCCAACTGAGAGCAATCCAGATCCAGTCTAGAATCTCTCTAAATACAGCCTAGCAACTGTCCAACTATAGCCTAATACTGTCTAGCTACAGCCTAGCACTAGGAGTAGGAGTAGGATTGTCCAACTATAGCCTGAGACTAGGATTGTCCAACTATAGCCTGAGACTAGGATTGTCCAACTATAGCCTGAGAGTAGGACCCTATAACGATGTTCGTATAAAAAAACAAATCGAGCCCCAAATATTAGAAATAATCTTACCTCAAATTGAGGGATACTCTAGACCAAAGGTGAAGTCTTAAACTTCCAAATGCTGCTCGGAACAGTCCTATTAAAAAAAATGGAACACGTGTTGTAGGTTAATATTTCCTGAAGAAAATCTCAAACTTACCGAAACAGAATCCAAAAATGACCAAGGGACGACTCTAGACAATTATGAGCAAGAAATTAGTCTAAAACTTGAGCTCCCTGGCACAAAATTCCAAAAAGTCTCGCCCCAAAAATAATTAGGGCCGAGGCCCGAGACCGGACGACTACTCAGCGTGAGGTCGCAGATCAAAAGGGCAGATTCTTCATTTAGAATTTAGATTTCGGAAGAAGACTTTCATCTGTCAAACTTCTAATTTTGACATTGAAGAAAATTATAGAAAAGGACGTGTTCAGTTTCACCCCAAAAGTACGAACTGAGAATCGGTTGTGTAAAAAATGACTGGTTAATGTTGAAAAGTGCCTATAGAACATATATCAAAAGGTAGAACAGGTCTAAAGAAAACGCCTAGACAAAACAGCTGTTCAATGACATGATGGAAATGAAAAGTCAAAGAGTACAAAAAAACAACAATTATTATCATAACCTCAGATTATTGATTGGATTTGCAAACAGAGATGGTGATGGTACTAACTCCTTTTCCTAAGATTCTAATCAATAACAGCGGGCCCTGAGCCCTGCCGTACTGAATCAAACCTTCCTAGATCAATTAAAAAAACTTGCAAACCTGCACCAAAAAAACTTCTAGTAGAAGGCAGCACTCAAGGTAACAAAATCTGGGCACAAAAAAGATAGTTGTTTATTCATTTATTTCATTGTAGCTCTATATGGAATCATATCCAGTATAGCAAAACAAGAGAGGTAGCTTATTAGCCAAGAAATTGAAAACGTTACAGAGCTATTTTACTCTAAACGCCTGTTCAACTCTAATAATAGACAAAAGGAATCATGGGCCATCGTTAACGAAATCACTAATAGAGCAAATAAGTCATCTCAAATAAACATCGATGCAAACCTCTTAAATAAATATTACTGCTCAAATGCTGATAATTTGACCAAAGACTCACCATTCAATACAGATCCACTCATTTATCTGTCAAATATCAACACCCCCGAACATTTTCATGCGTTCCACCCAACTACCCCTCACGAAATTCTAAAAATAATTAGTTCCATGAAAAATAAAAAAGCTGCAACTGATGATGGTATTTCATTGAAAATTCTGGAGAGCCTGCCCAACAGAGCCATCGCTACTTTATCTGATGTAATCAGTTTTTCTTTTATGACAGGTACCTCATCGTCTTTTAGGATTGTTAAAGTCCTCCCTCTATACAAAGGTGGTGATCACGCCTCATCCTCTAACTATCAACCAATTTCTTTATTGTCAACGCTGTCAAAACTTATTGAGAGTCTGGTAAAGTCTCGACTCATGTCATTCTTAGGCGAAAACAATATTATAACTAACGATCAATTTAGATTTCAGGCAAAAAAAAAATACTTCTGACCCTATGTTTCAGTTTCTCTCGAGAGTTTTCCGGTCCATTAACGAGCGTGAGGCTTCGGCGGCGGTATTTTGTGATTTATCTAAGGTATTTGATTGCGTAAGTCATGAGGTATTGCTGCGGAAGCTTTACGCCTATGGTGTCCGTGGAGGGGCCTTGGAGTGGTTTGGTAGCTACTTGCGTTGCTGTGAGCAATTCGTTCACGTGGATGGGGTGTCATCTAGCAGACAACGTACCTTATGCGGCGTTCCCCAAGGATCTGTACTGGGACCCATTCTCTTTTTAATTTTTTTAAATGATTTAACCCAACTTGAAAACTCTGGGCTATTCACGTTGTTTGCTGATGACACAACCATTTTCTGGCCCAACAGGGACTTAGATCAACTACAACAGAACATTGAATCCGATCTTAAGCAGATCAGACGGGGGTGTGATGCAAATCGTCTATGCTTAAACATGTCCAAAACTCATCTGATTGGTTTCAACTGTGCTCTTCGGGACCCTGACATGGGCGACAACTCCATTTCAATTGTGAATAATTCCTAATTTTTGGGGCTCATAATCAATGAAAATCTTAAATTTTATCCTCACATTCTGAAACTAAATAAAAAGTTGGCCTCTGGCTGTTTTTCGGTGAGAACCACCTTCCAAAAACTGAGTAAAGAAGTAGCACGCAATGTTTATTTTGCTCTTGTCGAGTCACATATTAGATATGCATTACCCTTTTGGGGAGCCTATGCACAAAATCTATTCCAGTCTGTCTTTATTCTCCAAAAGCGAGCAGTTCGGAATTTATGCAATGCTCACCCAAGAACACACTGTAGGCATGTCTTCATCCAATCTACCCTCCCTTTTCATCCTGGAAACAGCATGCTTAATTCATAAAAATAAGCAAAGCCTTCCAAGGCATCAAGACATCAAACCCGTCACAACAATAATATCTCTTTACCAATACCTCACTTTAACCTGGTTAAGAGATCTCTCATCTACAATGGCCTCAAAATATACAATAATGTTGGTTTGGGGATTACGAATACTTCAACACCAAAAGCTCTCCGGAGTCTAAGGCATTGTTATCGGAAAAAGCATTTTATACTATTGACGAGTTCTTTGAGCAATCCTAATTTAGTGTAATATTTAATCTCAATAGTAAACTGGCTATATATTGTTGTTTTTATATTACATTATGTTATATTTTGTATTGACCATTTTTGGCATTTTTTACATTCTTGATTGTTACTATTTTTATTGTTTCTATTGTTCTTTTTATTGGCCATATTTAGAATGCTTGTCTTATTGTCAGTTTTTTTTTCTTTTCTCTTTATTTGATTACGAGTTTATTGACTGTTTGTTTGTACCTAGGTAGGTCATTGTTGATTTTTTTACTTTTATTTTAGTTTAGTATAGTTTTTAAGTATGCTTTGTCGATAAGACCTATTACATGTAATATTTCTTAGACAATAAAGTACTTTTCATCATCATCATCATCATATTGCCTATGTTTCCTGGTGACCCACTAACCGTTGCGTTGGTGTCCATGACCTAGGAGTACCTGGACGCTAATAATTAATTAATTTTTGTAATGATTCTGATAGATATACCTAATTCAGGGATTTTTTTCATGACTAAGTTTTGAATTTAGACGAATGGTGGAAGCCCATAAGTTTGAAAAACCATTCAAAGTCATATGCGACCCAAGCATATGGCAGGATGGAACGCCTCATATGATAAGAAGAGTCCTGGTCTGGCATACAGACGGCTCGAAAACAGAGAATGGAGCTGGTTCTGGCGTACATGAAGAAAGATCAAGATCAGAACAAAGCATCCTTCTAGCGCTTAACGCCACAGTATACCAAGCAAAAGGCTAGGTTATAATAACCAGAACCTAAGCATTTTCTTGGGCAGTCAGGCTGCTCTAAAAGCTCTGAACCTCTGAACATCGATTTACTTCGAAAATAACGATGGAATGCCTACACAACCTGGAATCTCTGTCGTTAGGAAATAACAGGATGTAGCTCCTGTTGGTTCTTGGGCTCTCGGGGATAGAAGGCAAAGAAAAGGCTGACTAACTGGCCAGATTGGGCGCAGCTGCACCCTAAACAAGACCAGAACCAGCAGTTTTGTATGTTCTGACGCATTTTCTGCCTCAACTTATTTCTCCCCCCTCCCTTCCCCACCCTCTACATATACATGAATTTTGCTTAGAATTACTAATCCTAAAATTCAATCCATGTTTGCTAACTGGGGAAATAAGTACCGATAATGGTCACTGCCTCCTGGACTAATTTCCGGCGTTGGTGTTTTAACATGCGTATGAGGATAACTTGATGAATTTGTTGGGGAGCAAAATTATAATTCATAGTGGTTTTTTGAAGGTTTACTCCTAAATGTATTTTTTTTTACCGAAGGCCGCAGAACGACTCGGAGAAGATTTTATGATTCAATAGCCAGAAGCTTGGGTTATTGTAAGTAATAAGCTGGAAGACGAAAGGATTTATTTTTAAACAAATATCGCTACAATATTGATCGTGAAGAATAATGAATGGGAAGGAAAAACCACCAGGATTACTGAAAGACCCGAACTGTTTGTATCACCTTGTGCAATTGAACAAATATGCTCTACCTTTTCCTTGATGTTTTTTTCACAAACGTTCTTTATGCAAGTTTCCTGTTGCATCTGGCATCAAAGTTTATTATTTGTTCTTTCCAGCTCGAATATGATTTCAACCAAAACAGTCTCTCCGTGACTGTTATCCAAGCTGAAGAACTACCCGCTCTGGATATGGGTGGTACTTCTGATCCGTACGTGAAAGTTTACTTATTACCCGACAAAAAGAAAAAGTTTGAAACTAAAGTTCATCGGAAAACCCTAAATCCGGTATTCAACGAAACGTTCGTCTTCAAGGTAAGAATCGACATTTTCTTAGACTAGTTTGTCATAATGTTGCATTTTCCAGAGTATTCCTTATGCTGATGCCATGAACAAGACCCTAGTGTTCGCCATTTTCGATTTCGATCGATTCTCCAAGCACGACCAAATCGGTGAAGTTAAGGTGCCACTATGCCAGATCGATTTGGCGCAGACTATTGAGGAATGGCGCGAATTGCAGAGTGTAGAAGGAGAAGGCGGCCAGGTGATATCATTTGATTTCTTTAAGTGTTATGAAGTTATTTTCCATTATCTTTTTCTCTTTATTGGTAATGGCAAAGAACTCGATTCTGAAAAAAAAAAACGAAGATTTTACAATCACAAATTTTCAATTCTTTTTGCTTTAAAGAAACAGTTAAATTAGGTTAGTAATAACATCTAATCTTTGCTATTAACAATTTTGTTTCCTAATGATGTAATTAGATTAACTAAAATAGGTTGGGTGTGAATTTCAACTAAATTATACAAACTACCTTTATATTCATTATACTACCGCCTTACACCCAGTTCGGACCAATATAAGTAACAAACATAAAAAATAACATGCACATTTTTACTCAAAAAGGCACCTCTTTACATTTTTAACGCCTATCAAAATAAAATACCTACTTTTAATTCTTTTATAGACGAAAGAACTTTTTTTGCTTAAAGAATATTTCAAACCACCACAATACAGTAATTTTGAACTAATTTATTTATTAAGCCTTTATAAATGATGCAACACTTAAAAAAAAAAAAAACTAGAATCTTACAAAACACATATACACAAAAATAATTTTTAATTATTGCATCAATTTATTTGCAACTTTTATATGTAGATTCTAATTTATTACATTTTTGTGCACACCAACTTAAGTTTAGATATTTCACAGAGACTTTTGTAGATTTTTTTGATTCTATAAGCTTTTTTTTATATTTCATAACGATACCGGAGTTGCTTTTTTACCATTTTCAAAGTATATTTACAGGAGTAACATTAGTCCAGTCATTAGGTAAATTAAATTATTAAAATTTTCCTAGAATAATCTGAAACTTTAATATAACATGACACGTAGAGCAACAATAATGAATAATTTGAAAATTTGTTCATACCTTGAAACCTGATGAAATCCTTGAACGAAAGCTACTTGCCTATGTCGCTTTGAATAGCTACTATTGGATTTAGGACAAAAAAAATTTTTTTTTAAATTTTTCCAGTTTTTAAGATCAAATTAAAATGTTCATTCAAGCACCCTGGCGCACCTTTTCATATTTTGTTTTTCTTTGGGTCTTCATCATACATCAATGTTTGTTTGTTTGTCCCTTATGCGCTCCTACACCACTTTTCCGATTACGATGAAACTTTGGTAGGTTGTTGTGGCCATCCCAAGGAAGGTTTCTGACATCCTCACGAGGATGCCTAAGGATGCGTGCAACGTGCAACACACGAAAATGCAGGGACTCTTGATGGATTGGCGAATGCTTGCGTTGTTATTCTCATAACCATTTCGTGAAAATCATTGTACAGCTATTTTATATTCTAGTATATGAAAATCAATGTTTGTTGGTTCGTTTTTTATGGACTCGGAAACCGCTGAACCGATCTCCTTGAAATTTATACCACGTAGTCTCTATTATTATTAATTAATTTTAAAAGCAAAACGATTATCCGGAATTTGTCGGAAAAATTGATCTAATTAATCGGTAACTGACATTCAGTTAATAAAACAAAAATTTTAAGAATTTTCGGGTGTGAGAAAAAAAAAATTGAAAACTAAAAACTCGAGAGATTTTTGAAACGATTCGTCTTTGAAGAGTAAAACCGATATCGTTTTGGGTTCAAGAGTTTTCGGCGGCGGAAATTTATAAAAAAAAATTAATAAACTGAAAACTGAAGAGATTCTGGAAACGGTTCGTCTTCAAAGACTAAATCCGATACCGTTCCAGGCTCGAGAGTTTTCGGTGGCGGAAATTATAGAGAATTGATAAATTACAAAGCGAAAACGGCAAAAATTAAAATAAAAAAAAATTTAATCGGATTGAATCGTTTACTGAAAGGGATGACGGCTAAGTAAAAAAAAAATTATACAGGTGGAATTAAATTAAATCAAACGGTAGTACTAGTAGGAAATTCACTTTTCCTACAGCCGTGCGGAAAAATCGATTTTCCGCACTGATATGCGTGCGGAAAATGAGTTTTCCCGCACGGTGCGATAAAACTTTTTTTTTTAACATATCAGTGCGGAAAAAGTTTTTCCGCACGGCTGTCAGTGCGGAAAAAATTTTACCGCACTGATATGTCAAAAAAAAAAAAATGAAAAATTTTACATTTTTTCGCCTGTAGGAAAAATATTGTACCTAACACTTGCGGAAAATATTTTTCCGCACTCGGCTGCATCACCGGTGAACGGCAGCCGCGTGCGGAAAAATTCATTTTCCGCACTTGTTAGGTAAATAGCTATTTTAACAAAAAAAAATCACTTTTGAGTTTTCACTAGAAAAAAAAAAATCACAATTGGCGCGGTTCTTCCGGGTGTTTCGGAGGTCGGCAATCTAGTACCACCAATTTTTCCTCTTTTCCTCGTTGAGTACTCCTCCCTACTTTGGTTATCTCGTCACGGAACGACGTCGGGTAGCGTAGAAGCAGGGCGGTTATTTAGTAGCGGCGATAGTATCTCTAATAGGATCCGAAAATCGATTCGGATGTGGTATGTCAGTGGCGGGTAGCGGGAAAAAAATAGTAACTTCGTTACACAGTTCTAGTATAATTTTTTTCCGGCTTTCCAATTTTTACATGTCTTACCTAGAATTCTTGGGGCGGATCAGATAATCAGTTCAAGATTCTGGACATTCAAATATACCTTCCTGGGGTACTAATTGAATTCGTTCTGTCGAAATACGTTCAATTAGGAGATACATATCTATATAAGTTATCTCTTGCCATCCGTCTTGGTAACTGGATTGGAGGGGAAGAATAAGCGAAAAGTTTGGGAGTGGAAGGAAGATTGGAACATTGTGAGTGGAAACGGAGTGCCAACCACTAACTTATCATCTACTAACTTATATAAAGTATTATTATTCAATGGTAACTAAATGGTATTTTAAGCCTTAAGCATTGGTATTGATCAGAAATTATAGCACTGAAAGTTGGCAAAAAATCACAATTTCATATTGTTTGTACTACCAAGACCAATTTGATATTGTTTTTCTACGTGTCATGCGAGAATAAGGTTTCATATTATTTAAAGCGACTGTAAGAACAAGTCAGTTTTGCAACAAATCGACTGGAGTATATTTATAGAGCGCGGATGTGTCTACATTACACAACAACACCTTTTCCATATGGAACAACTTGAAGTTATTTTAATTACATATATTTTATTCGGTAGAATTAAAGAATTCGAGTTGTTTCATAATAATTTCACTCCAAACTCAAAGCAGTAGACCTTATAATATTGACGTAACATATTTTCTCTTTTTCCTAAAATTATCTCGTTCTGCTTTGATTGGCTGTGTTTCTGGTTGTGCCCGGCGCATTTGTGCATGATCCGCTTCCAATACGATCACTTTACTAAATTCACGTAAGTATATTTCATCGTATATTGTTTTTTTTTTTATATAAAATCCATTTTGAGAGGAAAGACACCTAATTTTGAGTAAAAGAATTTGTTGATAAAATTAATAAAAATTCTGTTCAAGTAAGGTTCAAGTATATTTTCTTTGAACACAAAATGGATTTTGTATGTTCATAAATTTTTAGACGGATAAGCAATTTTGAAATACATTCAGAATTTTTAAGTTTGCTTATCTGTTTTCTATTCAATTTACATTGTAGTTTTTAATAATTGAACCATTGAAGGCAAAATTTTTCAAATTATCAAATCAAAGAATAACTACACTACTGAAAGTAATATAAAGAAAGGATTTGTTCGGACAAATTTTGCCATCAAGTTTTCTTTAATTTCTTGCATATATTACGAACTTCTTTAATTAATTAATCATTTTTATGGATTTAACATTATTTCTTAAAAAATTATACATTTTCATTCTATGGAAAAAAAATTGTATCTAAAATATTAATTGTCTGCATTACAAACCCAAATCAAAACTATAGGTTTAGGATTCAAAATTGGACCTGCAGCTACAGTACAAAGTTCCGTTAATATTTATGTTAAACAAATTTCAATACTGACAATTCTGTATCTGTAGATGTAAGTTATTCAATTTTGCTAATTGGTGTTAAAAATGTCCGGATAAAAGAAACTGGTCAGTGGAGTTTAAAATAAAAGGAAAAATCCATATTCTAAATAAAACAATATTTTACTAAGATGCGTTCAACAAACCACATGAAAAGCAACTTAGTAGATGAGCATTCGCAGTTGAAATAAATATAATGTACCACTGCACCAGTCGATTGAAAACAAATCAACAAATCACCATAAAAAATATTTTGGATACAAATCTTTATAAAGTAGTACCAAATACATACTTATTGCTCTCACGATCTTATTTATATTCTTGTTATTAACAATTTTTATCTGCATGTCCCTCTTATTTTGTTGGCATTTGCATCTCTGGCTGGTTATTTGTTTTTTCAGACCGTTTTTACTTGTTAATTTTTTGTCAGAGGAAAGGTGAGTTTTATTGTGATATAATTTGTGTTTAATAAAGTTTAGAGAAAGTAAAAATTTCAAAAACAAGAAAAATTTTCATCACTCAAATGGAAAAACTCCAGAATATTCCCTGTGAAATGGCGGATAATAGTTATTTATACACCAAGTGAGTTAAATGAGTGTTTATTCATGAGAAGAAAGTTTAACCCACGAGCCCTAGCGAGTGTGTTAATTTTCTTCGAATGAATAAACATTTTAACTCACGTGATGTATACAAAATTTTATCCCATTTTGTGGAAATATAAAAAATAAAGTACAAGGAAACATGCCGGGTGTGAGTTAAAAATATTTTAAATCACTGAAGTTCCAGATTTTTAGTTGGGCAGAGTGACTTAAAATGCCGAGAGTGAGTTAAAATGTTTTTAAATCACTGAGGTGATAAACGTCTACTTACCTTTATTGTTATACGTTCAATAATGTTATTTTTGAACATCAAAATGGAATAAAAAATTATAAAGGTGCGGTCGAATGGAAAAAAAAAAAAGTAAATTGGAACAGCCTATTTGATTCAACCCTCAAGTTTATAAGAAATGATATAGGTAGGAAAAAATAT